GTGTGTGTGTGTGTGTGTGTGTGTGTGTGTGTGTGTGTGTGTGTGTGATGAAGTCTCCATCTTGTTCCCCAGGCTGGAGTGCAATGGTGCAATCTCAGCTCACTGTAACCTCCAGCTCCTGGATTCAAGTGATTCTCCTGCCTCAGACTCCAGAGTAGCTGGAATTACAGGCGCCTGCCACTAATGCCCAGCTAATTTTTGTAGTTTTGGTAGAGATGGGGTTTCACCATGTTAGCCAGGCTGGTCTCGAACTCCTGACCCCAGGAGATCCACCTGCCTCGGACTCCTGAAGTGCTGGGATTACAGATGTGAGCCACTGTGCCCAGCCAGACTTTCTACTTTCTATTGGATGTTTTTCAAGTGTGCTCAGAATTGCTCACTGTGGCATTTTTATGATGGCTGCTTGTTAACTTTTGTCAGATAATTCTAACACCTGTGCCATCTTTGTGTTGGCATGCATTGACTGGCATCCATCCATTAATTGTCTTCTCTGACAGCACTCTGGCAGGGGAGGGGTCATGGCACTACCACCTTACTGCCAGGCAAGGGTAGAAGTTCAGGTTCCCTGCTCAGCCTTTGTTGACCCCCAAAAGAGGGGCTCCTCATTACTGCTGGGTGGGGGTTGAAGTTCTGGCTTTCCACTTGGCCTCCACTGATACCTCCCTAGCTGGGGGAGGTAGAAGACCTGACTACTATTCCCCACATGGTCTTCGTGACATCACAGGGTAGGGAGTATCCTTGTTAAGCTAGGTGGTGGTGAAAGTCCTGACTCTACCGGGTCTCCTGTCACCATCCCAGCAAGGTGGAGAAGCAGCTTCTCATTATTGCCCAGTGCGGGCAGAAGTCCAGACTTCCTAATTGGCCTTCTCTGATGCATATAATATGGCTAGAGGATTAGGGGTTGATGTACATGCCTAATTACAGCCTGGGGAGGGTGGAAATCTAAGCTCGCTCCTCATTTATTTGCTGGCATGGGTGGATATTTGACCTCAGCTTATTTTGGAATGTTTGGTTGAAGCAGAGAAGTCATTGTTGAACATTTTCTATCCTCCTAGTTTGCCCCTTTCCTGTTCTTTTGGCTAGAGAGAGCAGGTTTTGTTGGGACTTTTTGTGTGTGTGTGTGCTCATTGGCATTTCCAGGATCTCAGCTTCTTCAACTCAAAGTCTGGGATATAAGATGCAAAACAAAATCCCAGGGACCTCACCACAATGTGGCTCCTTGGGTCCCCAAGATGCTTGGATGCTTTGCCTTCCTTTTCCCATCTTCCAGGGTCTCCTTATGTTTGTTTTGCATAATAGCCAGGGTTTTTAATTGTGCTCAGAGGAAGGAGTAGGGAAAAACATGTCTATTCCATCTTCCCAGAAGCCTGTCCTATGACCTTCAACAGATTGAATTTGGGTTCCCTGTAGAAATTTGCCCGTTTGAAATAGGTTTGCCCTCTTCACCCAATAAATACTTGACAGAAGTGAAAACATGGAAAAGACACTTATCCAGGTGCCAGGAGACCTGGGTCTTTGTCTGGGCTTTATGGCCCTAAGCAGGTTACAAACCTCATGGAATCTCCATTTTCTTATTTTCATGTGGCAGGATAATTTACTGAGATAATTTCTGATATGAATTTTCCCTGCTCTAGAAAGTTTCCCCTCCCTTTAAAAAGTAGTCATCTTTTTTTTCTTTTTAAAATGAGTTGTTTTTCTCTTAAAGCCTTTAGGGAGTTGTAGGGCCTTAGGCAGAAGTTCCCAGGCACGAGGAAGATAATCTCTCTAATCAAACTTTTGCTTTTGAAAGCTTAGGCTCCACAAGGTGACTATGGCAGGCCCTCCTGGAGGGGAGGAATGCAGAGCGGGGGCCCTGGGGGAGGGAGGCAGGAGGGTCAGGAGAAATGTCACAGAGCCTGAAGAGGGGAGCTGTGGAGTCTGCAGGCACCAGGAGAGCTCAGAGGTCTCAGGGAGGCAAGAGGACTTCTGCTCAGGTGATCAGGGCACTGAGTCCACTGAAGACTTGTGCTGTGGCCTTTGGAGCCATAGAGAATTGATCTAGGCCTGACCTAGGCATGGTTAGGAGGAGCTGCCTCTGAAGGACCAGGCACAGATCATCTGACTGACAGAAATAACAAAATGTGGGCTGCCCAGCACCTGGTGTGAAAGTGTAAAATCCATGAGGGTCCATCGATGGCACCTGCTCTCCTACCCAACACGGTGTTCTGAGGCAAAATGCAATTATGCACATCATAGTCTTTTCCAAGGCTTTCAAGGTTGTCCAAACATAACTTGTGGTTTTTATTAAGCACCCACTCTAGCTAGGTTCCATCTGGGAATGATGCTGGAGCAAAGAAACATCAGTGAGATGCTGGAATTTATCACCTCTTTGGGGAGATAATGCATGCACTGGGTGAGGAAGATGCTAAGGGTTAGAGGGTCAATCTAGAAACTACTTGTAAGGATTTTCTCATAAACTGGCTTTAGGCCTCTGACTTTTAACTTCCTTGTCAAACTGATGATTCTAATCAAAACTATTTAGCTGCAAGTGACTGAAATCTAATTCGTACTAGTTCAAGGTCAGAAGGTAGAGCAGAGGATTCCGTAACAGAGAGTAACAATAATGAGCACCAGCATTTATAAGATGCACGCTATGTGCCAGGCATAGTTTCAAATGCCAACTCCTCGAATCCTTGAAACAATCTCACAAGGCGAACAGGATAGATCATCAGCCCACCTAACAGCTGAGGTCACAGGGGCACTGAGAAGAATGAGCTTGTTTAAAGAGCTGCCATCTGGCTCTGGGTCCCAGCACATATCAAAGGGTAAAAGTGGTTACCCAACCGCTTGGGAAGGGCCAAGGATGGACAATGGACATGAGCTCAGGAGGGCAGGATGGAGGGGTTCCAGCGATGAAAGGGCTGTGTCACTGCCTCCATCTTCCTAGCCAGAAAAACACGCTCCTTAGAACTTGTCAACACCAGCGGAACAGGGAAGGAAACCTCTGCCTCTTAGGGTCCAGGTCTCACAGTTCCCTGCGAGAACTCCGATGGTCCCACTGCGTCCGTGTGCCTTTTCCAGAACATCAGTAGTGGCCAGAGGGATGGGATGTTCTGGCTGACTCTTGTTTGGGGTTGTTCTACAGTTGACTACACGGAGTCAGGGATGGGAGTTTCCTCGGAAGAAAGGTGGGGTACACAGTGGCTCCAGTTACTTCCTAGCAGGGACCTGTTCTGGGAGTGATAGGAAGCTTTGAATTATTTGTGAGAAAGAGGCCTCCCGTCATTTTCCGGTGTCTGTCTTAAGACTGCCCTAATTTTCAACTTTGAAGGTCATCCTGTGGCCAGATGTTATTTACTCTTTCTTCACTTGAAGCAATGGTTTCCCAGATCTTTCCCAGCCACTCTTGGTTCCATGCTAATGGAAGAAAACAAAAGGAGTCTCTCTGTAATACTTAACTTGTCTTGTCCTAACTTAATCTATGAAATATCTACTTGCAGTGTTTCCCCTGAAACCATCCCTCAACATCTGTCTTGCCATCATAGCCTCCAGGCCTCTGCTGCCTCCCTCCCTCTACCCTGCACCTCCCTCTCCTCTTTGGCTTCCCTCATCTCATGGCCCCTCCTTTGCACTGACCTCTCAGCAGGCTGTGTGTGTTTGTGGAAGAAGGGGTCCTCTCTGGAGCAGGGCTGGCTCACCAGAGGAATCGAAAGGGTGCATCTGGGTACTGGAGACAGAACACCATTGAAGTCAAGGGGGCCAGCAAAATAGGACACAAACAGTGGAGATGAAGTATTCCCATTTCTTTAAAATGAACCAACACACAGAGTTCCTATATAGTGTATCCAACCAGCCTGCCGCCACTGCCCTCCGTGATGACGTGGTCTCTGTGTCTGACCCCCTTTCCCAGGCTTCCTCTTGAAGGGCTAAAGCATGGCTTTCCTCTGCACCTGTTCTCCCTCCTTTGTCCACTCGCCTTCCCCTTTCCTCTTTCCTTCCTTTCCCCGTCTCTACCTCTTGTATTTCCTTCCTTCCTTTCTTTCTCCCTGCTGTGATCCAAATGTTGGTATCCTCCCGAAATTCATGTTAGAACCTAATACCCATTGTGACAGCGTAAAGAGATACGGTCCTTGGGAGGTGATTAGGCCATGATGAATGGGATTGATGCCCTTATTAAATGGTTTGAAACAGGTAGAAGGGAGCTCCTTTCCTTTCTACCATGGAGGGCACAGAAGGCACATCCATGAGAAACAGGCCTCCAGACACTGAATTTTCTGGCGCCTTGAGTTTGGACTTCCCAGCCCCTAGAATTGTGAACAATAAATTTCTGTTGTTTATGTTACCCAGTCTAAGATATTTTGTTACAGAAGTCCAAATGGACGGAGAAAGAAATTGGTACCAAGAAGCAGAGCACTGAAGAAACACACAGCTGCAAATGTGGAAGTGGCTCTGGAACTGGGTAATGGGCAGAGGCTGGAAGAGTTTCGAAGAGGAGGCTAAGAAAGCCTCGACTGCCAGGAATGGACATAAAGAGTGATCCTGGTGAGGGCTCAGAGGAAGAGGAGACAGAGCCTCTGAGATTTTGTAAGTGGCCGTGATCAGAATGCTGATGGAAATATGGATGGTAAAGGTCACTCTGTTGAGGTGTCAGACAGAAATGAGGAACGTGTTACTGGAAATGGGAGGAAAGGCCATCCTTGTGACAGATGGCAAAGGACTTGGCTGAATTGTTTGTGTCCTCATGTTCTGCGAAAGTCAGAGTGGCAAGGGATGAACTCAAATATTTGGTGAAAGAAACACTCTAAACCATGTGTTGAAGACACTGCATAGCTTCTCTCCGCTGCTCATGGTAAAATGTGAGAAGGCAAGAAATCAAAGACAGAATTTATACTCAAAGGAAAGCAGACCTTATAGACTTAGCATATTCTCAGCCTGGACAAACTAAAGAAGAAAAAAACATGTTTGGGAGATTGAGGGTGTAGCCAAACTAGTGTTTCCGGCAGAGATTAGCATGGACAGGCAGAAGCCAGGTGCTGTGTGTGAAGACAGCGAGGGCATCACCCTGAAGGCACTTCTGAGGTTATTAATGCTGCCCTCCCCTCACAGATCCAGAGTGCTGAGGTCTGGGGGACAGAACTATGCCCATTGAGGGGCCTTGGGTACCTGCAGGACCTCGGCACTGCTGTCCAGCGCTGCCTCAAGCCTCAGCTCCCACATTCTGGTGCTGTGCTTATCAGTGGTTCCAGTTGTGGTGCGGGCTGCATGTGTCCCCTCAGAGGGCACGGTCAATCCTTGGGCATCTGTGCAGGGCCATCTCCATGGGTGTGCAGAGGGCAGAAGCTATGGAGGCATGGCTCATCCATCTGGACTTTAGAAGCTTTGGAGAGCTTTGGGATCCAGGCAGAGAACTGCCACAGGGGCAAGGCCACTGCAGAGAGCACCACCCTCACCAGGACAATGCCCATTGGAGCTGTGGGGGCAGGGTCACCTGAAGATCTCAGACAAGCAGAGCCACTGGTGTGCACCTCCAGCCTGAGAGAGCCACAGGCAGGGGACTCCAGCCCATGAGAGCTGCAGTGTGGGCCGTGCCTAGCAAATCCATGCGGTAGGTGCCACCCAGACCCCTGGGGACGCGAGCCCCTCTTTAGAGTGTCAGGAAGGTGGAAACGTGAGTCAAAGAAGATGTAATAGTTTTGCCCCATTGGGTTCTGGGCTTACTTGAGACCTGTTATCCCTTTCTTCTTTCCTATTTTTCTCTTTTGGAATGGAAATGGCTGTCCTGTGCCTACCCCATCCTTGCATTTTGGAAGCACATAACTTGTTCGACTTCACAAGTTCACAGCTGAAGGAATTTGCCCCAAGAGGATGTGCACCTTGAGTCCCATTCCCATCTGATTTTAATGATATGCAGGTGGGACTCTGGACTTTTGACTTTTGATTTGGTGCTGGGAACAATTTAAGATTTTGAGCACTGCTAAGATGGAATGAACACATTTGGCATGTGAGAAGAACGTGAATTTTGGAGGGCCAGGGAAGGAATGCTATGGTCTGAATGTTAGGGTTCCCCCTAAATTTATTTGTTGGGACCTAATGCCCAGTACAATTAATACTCTGATAGTACTAAGAGGTTTAGCCTTTGGGAGGTGATTAGGTCATGAAGGCTTTGCCTCATGAATAGGATGGAGCTCTCATAAGACAGGTTGTGGGGACCACTTCTTTCTCTTCCATCATGTGAGGACACAGAGGCATCATCTATGAGGAACAGGCCCCCACCTGACACCAGAGATGCTGGAGTTTGACCTTGATCTCCCAGCTTCCAGTACTGTGAACAATACATTTCTGTAGTTTACAGATTTCCCAGTCTAAGATAATTTGTTACAATAGCCAGAATGAACTAAGACACACATACACTCTCTCCCTCCCTTGGTCAGAGAAGCCAACAGAGCAGGGGCCAGGCTGGCCAGAAGGTTCAGCCCAGGACAAGTTCCCCACAGGGCTGCCTCCCGATAATGAGCACCTGCTGTGTCGTCCTGCGCCTGGGATGCCACCGGTGTGGTGTTCATCCCCATCGGCCGGGACAGCTGTAAGCCCCTCTTTCCTACTTATACTTGGGGCAGCCTCTTCTGTTCTTAACTGGCTGGGAATTTTTATCTCAGAGTCAGAGATTTGGGTTGTGAAAAGCAGGCAAGCAAACAAACACCTCTCTGCATCCTCCTCCCCCTTCTCTTACCCGGTTTCCAGGCTCTGGGGAAAGAAATCCCACAAACTGTCATACTTTATATTGCCATCAAACAGTGGTGGGCATGATGCAGAGAGGAGCTGGGCAAAGGGGCAGAGGGACAGCGTTCTTTGCTTTTTTGCTTTCCTCCCTGAAACGGGGAGGCGTCAAGTGAGCGAGATGTCCCGGCTACGCAGTGAAGCACAGAGCGGCTGAAGACACAGCAGGCAGGACAGGGGCATGTGCACGCTGGCAGGCTGTACGCGGGCTGGCCTCGGCCCCGGTGGGGACATGGAGAGACCTTCAGGGGAACCAGGGATTCAGAGACCCATTGTTGGGGTCCTGCAGAAGATGCAGCAATTCCAGCCACCAAGCCAGTCTCACCCCAACGACCTGGCTGGTTGCAGAAACTCACCAGGGACAATGGGCCACCCCCCAGCAGGCCCACCTGGACATGTGACTCCACTGCAGCCACCCTCACAAGCACCCAGTACAGGATCCTCACACCAGAGGCCAAGTCCCCAGGGTGCCCCTTTCTCCCCTTCATGTTCAGCCTCAGCAGCTGGAAGTCCACAGAAATAAATCAGACACTCCTAAAACAGGACATCAGAGGGGAGGCCAGATGGAATAAGAGTTCTCTTCCCACAGACCCAGACTTCCGTGGGCTCCACTCAGAGTCGACTGAACAATGCTGTTGAATGCAAGTCAAGGCCAACATGGGCTGTGCTAACAGATGCACACCCTCCAGCGGGAAGGAGCATGTCGCCTTACTGTTCTGTCCTGATCACACTGAATAGGTGTTCTGTGGTGGGCTCTGAATCTCACCAGGGACACTGAGGAAGGGGAAAGTGGGACAAAAGGGCGTCATCTAGGAAGCCATGCTGGAAAGACTGGGGCATTCGATCTAGAGAACAGGGCCTGGGGAGAATGTTGGTGCTGTCATTGGCCGGCCGGAGCCTACTCTGGGAAGTGACTCCATGTTGCTGTAGTGTGCAGAGCAGTCAGGGTGACGGGGAGTCCAATCAGACACAGGTGCAGTTTGCTAACGGTGACAACACAATAATGGAGTGGCTTGCCTGTTGAGGTAGTGATAGGGTCTGGCTGTGTCTCCACCCAAATCTCATTTTGAATTGTAGCTCCCATAATTCCCACATGTTGTGGGAAGGACTCAGTCAGAGATACTTGAATCATGCGGGCAAGTCTTTCCCGTGCTCTTCTTGTGATAGTGAATAAGTCTCATGAGATTTGATGGGTTTATAAAGGGGAGTTTCCCTGCACAAGCTCCCTCTCTTGTCTGCCACCATGCAAGACATGCCTTTCACCTTCTGCCATGATCAGAAGGCTTCCCCAGCCACACGGAACTGGGAGTCTATCAAGCCTCTTTCCTCTGTAAATTGCCCAGTCTCAGGTATGTATTTATCAGCAGTGTGAAAACGGACTAATAGACAGGAAGCAGCTCCCCACTGGAAATTCTCAGGCCCAGCCTGGCTCACCTGTCAGCAATGTCTTAGCAGAAATTTCTGTTGGGGTTGGGTCTAAGCTGGTCCTGCCAAGAGCGCTCCTTGCCTGGTTCACCCTCAGGGTTACACTTGGAATGCCATGAATGGTCTTGGCTGGCCCCTAGCCTGGGCACCCATGCTTAGTCTTTCTGCAGGTTCCATTGCGGTTAATTTTCCCACGTGAGCCAGGCCAGGCCCCCATGGTTTGGCACCCCCACAGTGCACTGGTTGCTGCCAGCTGACAGGAGCAAGCCTGCAGCTGCTGGGGTACTGTGCAGAGACAGGCTGCCAGAGGGGAGACCACTTGGGGAGGGCGGGGCTGTGGAGAGAGCAAGAGACCAGGGCTGAGGACAGAATGGTATAGGTCCGTGGTTCCGGCAGGCCTGAAACAGGTGCACTCTGAACCTTTCTGTACTTAGCTTTAACCAGTGGGAGTTTCTGTTCCTTACAGCCAAGAGCCTTGATAGGAACGGCACGGATCTGTGCTATGCTGCCATTGGTTGGCTTCTTCCCTGCTCGGGCGCTGGAGGGTAATATAGCAGGGACTAGAGTGGGAAGCCTGCTCAGTGCCAGGCATGGTAGAAAGCGCTTGCGAGGCCTTATTTCCCACTTGGTGGGGATTTTGACCCCGGCGTACAGATGGGTAAGTGAGGACCCTTTCACTTGTCCTGCAACAGAAAATCCAGCAGCCAAAGCCAACAAGGATCTGGCATGGCGTCTTCCCTCTCTGACTTCACCCTCATGCTCCACACGCTGTCCCCCTGGCCATTCCCACCAGCCCAGCAAGCACTGCTCTCACCTCTGCTTCCTGACCAGCCACTGCGGCCAGGCTGGATGGGGGCCATCAACCCACTGAAGCCCATTGCCTATTCTTGAGCTGAAGGTCAATCAATCCCGCATAAGTCTTGGGGCAGAGAACTGGGGGGAGGTAGAGAAGGGGGAATGTCTAGAAAGAAATTCTGGGCACATTCCTGTAAGTGAGGAGGATGGATATTGGAGAGAAAGTAGGCACACATCACTGCAGGCACCCAGACATTTCTCACGTGCCCTGGCCACATGGACAGCTCCTCCCTGGCTGTGTCCATGCCTCCTCTCCTGCTCCAGGCCCTGTCTGTTCCTGGAGCAAGGTGGGTCCCAGGGCTGGGCACCAGTCCCCACGTCCAGCCGTAAGGCACCTTCCTTCTGCATTTTGGCGCAAATGCTCCCCAGGTTTGTGGATCTGAATCCTCTTCCCAACACACTCAGGCTTTGCTGGCTTCCCTGCGGTGTATGTTTAAGGCACCACATGGCCTCCGTGGCCCGGCGCCTGGGCAGTAGCACATGGCAAACAGAGCAGTCAGATTCCTTCATCTCAGCCAAGTATAAAATCGAGGTAACGAATCAACCCGTAAGACAACACCATTCAGACAAAGGCAGGGCCTTCTCCCCCTTAAATTCATAACCGTGTCTCCTTTCTTTCCTTTGATTCGAGGGGGGGAATTTGGTTATGGTCATCTGACTGGTGGGTGTGAGGTCCACCTGCCTGATGTAAAAAGCCATGCCTCCTTTCTAGGTGAGGAGAAAGACAGAGACCTGCTCCTCTGAGGTGTGGTTGGAAGTTGGGGTGGGGGGGACCCAGGTGTGCTGGAAATGAAAAGAAATGCAGTCCTGTTTTTCGTCCCAACATGCAAACAACTGCACAAAAGCATTAGGGCCCGAGACAGAGTAAAGAATGCCTTGTCACCATGGATACCAGGAAATGGCCCCACTTATATATAATAAGGGCTTTAGAGATGCTGGACCATCTGATATTCCAACCTGGGGCCACGTGGAAGGGTGACCTAGCATCATTCCTTATGCAGTTCCATGAACACAGCTGTGGCCAGGTTTTGAACCGTGCTCTGGAAACACCTCTGTCTGCAGAAAATGAGGCTTTTCTTTTTTGTTTGGGGGTGACCAGAGGGCAGAGGCCTGGGCATCTTCCCTCTGCACCGCTTTGTAACCCAGCTCTTAGCATCATGGCTGACACACAGCAATGTCACACGTGTGAGTGCACACGTTGCCTCACTGCCGGGGGTCGCCCCACACCAGTGCTGTTGCGGGTGTTGGAGTGGTCAGATCTTTAGTCCTCAAGCTTCTGCCTGGCAGAGAGCTGTCCAACAACGGGGGTCGGAGGGAAGCAGCAGCAGCAAGAAAGAAGCCCCCTGCCCCTCACCCTCCCTCCCTGGACGCCCCCTCTCTGGCCCCATCCCACAGTCGCTTGCAGGCTTGGAGGAAGTGGATTTCCCAGTCTGGGAACCCCGATGCCTGTCGGGTGTCCACGCAGCCTCACCCGGGCTGTGCTGGTCCAGCCCCGGCGAGTTCGAGACCCAGGGGTTCCGGGGTGGCAGGGGGCTCCCTTGGCGCCTGCGAGGCCTCAGCCCGGGCGGCTCCCGGAACCCGCGCTTCAGGGCGCCAGGTCTGCCGCCCCCCGCAGGAGCAAAACAAGAGCACGCGCACCTGCCGGCCCGCCCGCCCCCTCGGTGCCGGCCAATTGCGCGCGCGGGGCGGGGCCGGGCGCGCCGGTGCCGGAGCCCGAGCCGGATCCCCGCCTGAGCCCGAGCGCAGCCCGCACCCAGCGCATCGGCCGAGCCGGGAGCCAGCTCAGCCTCGGCCCCGCAGCCCAAGCCTCGTACCCCGCCGCCGCCGCCCCCGGGGCATGGCCTGTCTGATGGCCGCTTTCTCGGTCGGCACCGCCATGGTGAGTGAACACATCCTTCGCCAGCCGGGCTCGGTTTTATTTTCAAGGAGAGCAGGAAACACACAAAGACTCGCATGCTCGACCTGACACCCTTCCCTGGAGCGCGTCCTCTGGGCGCTGACCCAGGGCACCCCATTGAGGCGCCCGGCTCCAATCGCTGCTCCCGCCTCTCCGCCCGGGCCACCTGGAGCCTCAGGATGCCCCTCGCACTGGCCGGGAACACGGACAAGGTGGAGGGGCCGGGAGTGGGGCGAGGGCAGCGAGCAGCCCTGCAAGTGGACCAATGGCCTTGACCTGAAGGGCTCCGGGCGGGGGACGTGCGGCCCTGGGGACCCAGAGCGCACTGGAGACTGCGGAGGGGGCGCAGCTTGGGCCGGAGGGAAGAAGGGGAGCCCCGCGCGCTCGGCTGTGGGCTTGGGGAGCGGAGAGTTCTCGCGCCATCCCCAGGAACGCCAGGCAAGGTCTAGAGGAACAAAAGAGGGAGCTGCCCCCGGAGAGCCGGAGCCCGCGCCTGCACTCCCGGGGACGCCTCTCCCGGACCCACTCGGGGAGGGGGCGGTGAAGGCCGGGGGACACCGCGAGGGGCGAGCCCGGATTCCTGCCGGCCGCCTTTCCGTGCGCGCCGGAGAGAGAGACGCTGTGGCGACAAGGACGCGCATCTCACTTCCCCCCGGCTCCGGGGAGGGATGCCGGGGTGCCGGCGAGTTCGCTGCTGGACACGGTGACTGCAAGTGCTGTTCCCAGGGGTGGTCAGGAATCTCCCGTTGCTGGTTTTCTGGCATTAGGAATAAACAACGAACCAACCGTCAGGTCCCCAGCCACCCACCTCACCTTATCCTAGGGCCCTTCATGCCTACGCCCAGCACTCCAACATCACAGAGGCAGCTAAAGAACAAATGGAAAGTCTTCCGTATTCCACGCCGTGTATCTGTGTAGTTACTACCCGGATAGTTACTTCCCCGAGGCTGCAAGCCCACAGTGCATGGCAGGCTGCGGGGCTCACCCCGCCCCTCCCCTCTATTTCATTTTTAGCATCCTGTGTTTGAAGTCAGCAGGGCTCAGCAGCGTTTGACCGACAGTTACCTCTTGCCTTGAGCTCAAGAGAAAAAAAAAAAAAAAAACGTAGCCAGGTTTCTGCGCATGCTCCGCTGTGACAACTGCATCCTATGATTCCAAACAGGTTACTGTAGAACATACGGAGCCTCGCCAGCTCATTATATAATGATTTTGTGTAAACGATAGAATGGGGCCGCAGTCCCGGCCAGGCGGTGGGTGGAGGAGGGGACAGCCGCGGCGGGAGACCCGCAGGCTGCCTCCGCTCTCTGGGCTGCCCTGCCTTCCCTGCTTGGCTTCTCCATAGACGAGGCAGTGAATAAAACGGAAAAGCCATTTCCATCCCGGGGACACTTGCTTTTCCCTGGTTGAATCTTTGGGCCACAGTTGGAAATTCTGCCTTTTGCACTTGTTCATCTATTCAGATTCCTAAATGAGGTTGGCAATGAAAAATTAAGATTATTGATGTTAGTTGCAGGTAGAAAAAGTTATAGATCTTGTATTAGATGCTAGGTGATTCTTGAAATCCTTTTAGAGCTGCAAAGGTGGCTTGTACATATGGAAAAATAATGAATCCGATATTTTAAGATACAGATTTTTAATACCAAGATTTTTTAATGGTATATTATGATTTGATACAGCCCCCAGAGCTCAACTGTTTTGTTATGTGTAAACCCTAATGGCGGGGCTCATTGTTTTGGAGAACAGTGTTTCGCTTTGAAAATTATTTTCCTCCCTGAAAACTTGATAATTTTAAAAAGTTTCAACATTTCTAACCATGCACAACTATCTCAGCCTGAAACCACTAGTGTGATCTTAGAAGCTAAGCAAAGTTAGGCCCCAGCTGGTCCTTGAATGAGTGACCACCTGGGAATTCTGGAGGCTGTAGGGTTAAAAGAAAAATAAATGTAAAATAAAATAAATTCTGTTCAAGTCATAAACAGCTCTTCAGAGATACCCAGGATCTGAAGCTTTGCTTTTCCTTCACCTCCTGCTCTGGGTCCATCCTGGTGTAGGCCCTCTGAGTTGTGAGTCAAAGGAGGTGCCTAGGACTGAGCCAGGCACTTGGGGGAGCATGCTGTGGTCAGTGGGCACACAAGGGGTGGCACATGTTTCCAGTGGGAGGGTAATGTTTGGAGCTGTTCTGGGATTCCGGGGAACCCCTCCAGCACGATACAGGCTTTGGCTCAGTTAAGGGTGTGACGCCTTGTTTATTTTCCTCTGGGCAGTCGCCTGGAGGACTCTTGGTCAGTGCATTTTCCTCTTATGTGCTTAAGATGCTTAGGTGGGTACCCAGGCTGGCAGCAGTGAACCCAAGAGAGACGACAGAGAGCTGCAAGCTAATCGTGTGCTGCTGACCGGCTCCTCTTCCTGTTCCTCACTCCCTCATGAGGCTGGGAGAAAAAGTTTCTATCTCTGTGTCCCTGGTGGAAATGGAGTGAATGCAGCTCACCATGACCTAGGGGAGGCTTACTGATAGTTAGAGACCCTCCCCAGCTAAACAGGCATCTCTATCTGCCCAGGATTCAAACTGCAATCACAGGCCACTCTGCTCAGCGCCCAGGAAAATATTCCCATGAACAGCAGCCAGGAATGATCCAAACAGGGTCTCTCTGGCATTCCACATCTATGAATGAACTTACTATAACTCACAATGTATTGTGCCACACAAATCGTATGTGGCCCGGTGCAGGGGTGGGGGCAGGTCAAAGACAGTGCTTCAGTAGGATAGGGAAACAGAAGAGTGAAAGGAAAAAATGAGAGAAGATGCATTTGCTTTAATTTTAATGAGCTCAGGAGGCTAAGGAGAAGCTCGCTGTAACCTACATTGCCGGCAGCTCTCATCGGAGGATGTGTTTCCAGAGAGCTGGTCTATTTTGGACTGACAGGCCGCAGCCTCGCATCACACAGTTTCCATGATTTTATTAATTGGGTGAGGCTGTTGGATGCCATGGAGGAAAGGTGGTCAACCATATGCATTGCTTTGGTGTTGGTTTATTTGGGCTGGGGCTACATGATTTCTTTGGTGTGGATATTCCTATAATGGACAAGGACTGGGAAGACACTGAAACACCCACAACTCACCCATGGAAGGCTAAGCAACAGTCCAGGGCTGCTACAGAGGCTTGTGGCCTCAGACTTGGAAGCCTCTCATAGCAGGGTCCAGCCTGGCCACACCCTGATCTTGGGGTCTTAGGCAAATCAGACAATGTCTCTGTGCTTTCTATGCCTCCTCTGAACCAGAGATGGTTGTCCCACCCCCCAGCACCCCTGTCCCTGTTAGAATTGTGGAGGTAATAAGAGGCATAATCTATACAGGCTAGAGTTTAATAGGTACATGGTAATTGCTGGGTCAATAGCCACTATTGTTTATAATCACTTACCAAGCATGCACAAGCCATTATTAATTAATACTTTAAATTACGAGTACTTGATTCGGGCTTATCTCTTTCTTACTCCCAAATCAGTTTAGCCACCCAGCTTTGTCTTCCTGGCCTGTCCCTTGCCTTCAGCCCCACTACGCTCAGTGGATCCAGGCCAGCATCACCTCACCTGGTTCACAGCAGGAGACACTTCTGCAGTTCTGGTCCTGTCATTCTCTCAGGGCTCCCCAAAGATCTCTCAATAAAATGTAAAACCCTTAATCATGTCGGCAAGCCCTTCACCACGGGGCACATTGTTTGCCCCTCTAGTCTCATCTACTCTAAAGCCCCCTGCCCTCCTGCCCAAATCCACACTCCAGCCCCTGCGTTTCTTACAGGTCTCTGAATACCCCACTCTCTCGTGCTGCTGGGACTTTGTATATGCTGTTCCCTAGCAGAGGCCACCAGGAGCCAGCACCCCTCCCTCTCACCTTGTTAAACTTAGCTAAGACTCTATTTCTGCAGAAAGACTTCATCCTGCGTCTCCCCATCTCAGGGTCTGTGTTGCATTAGATATCCCTTCTGAGTTACCCATATTCTGCTCTCAGCCTGGCTTTTGCCTTGACCTATTGTAATTAGTTGGTCTTCCTCAAAATGAAAGAAGCCAATCACAGGCACATATGGGGGAAAATGCACTGACCAAGGGTCCTCAAGGCGACTGCCCGGAAGAAAATAACCAAGTCATCACAGAAGCACAACGGAGCTTCTCAACAATCCGGAGGCGCTTATGCTTTCCCCCTGGCTCCTGCCTTGGCCTAGTGTAATTAGTTGCCTGTTTTCTTGCCTGGGGCCAAATCTTGAACTTGAGCTTGCTAGGTCTGGGCCATGTCTGTTGGGCTGACTGCTGACCCCAGGGCTTGATCTGGTGCTCAGTTTGTCCAATGAATGAGTGAGAGAGGGAGTGAGTGAGCAGATAGTGAGTCTAGCAGAGAAAGTCAGGCCCTCATGATAATGTAGATGGGTGGTATGGGGATTGTTCACCCCTTATTAGTGTGGGCTTTAGCCACAAGAAAGAAGCACCAGTCCCTGCAGCAGGGGCCCCATACCTGCAGTGGGTGCCTGGAGAGAGAGTGCGGATGGTACTTGGCAGCTGGGTTCCTGAGGTGGAGGAAGAGGGGGTCTGTGATGGGGGAGGAGTTGCTCAATCCCCCTGTGCCTTGCCCCCAACTGCATACACAGCCATCGGGGGTCCCATGGCAGAGCCTGAGTCTGCCAGAAGGATTGGGTAGGACCCAGCACATGCTGTGTCTTCACTTGTGTGGCAAGGTGAGGATGGAAATGGACGCTGGGGACCAGGCCTGGAGGACACTGTCTTGCTCCACAGCTTTCTTGACATCCCCCCTCCAAAGCCCAGATTTGGTGCTCTTGGGGCTCTTTTGGAACCCAAGTGAGCTCTAAACACCTGGAGCAGCAGGATGGGGCCCCAGAAGGCAGGCTGAGGGGCATAGGGCAGCAGCATGGGGCCCCAGAGGGCAGGCTGAGGGGCATGGGGCAGCAGCATGGGGCCCCAGAGGGCAGGCTGAAGGGTATGGGGCAACAGCTCCTTCAAGAGGCCCTGCCGAAGGGGCAACAGGACCAGCTGGGAGGAGGCTTCAGGGTTGCTCCCTCAGGGTCTGCATCTTGTCATTGCTCCAGAGCCCTAAGAGTGAGGAGTCCCCTTGTCAGACATGCACAGACCCTCCCAGCTCTGCTCGGGAATGCGGGAACCCACATATGCTGGTATCCAAGGTATCCTGAATGCCCAGGGCCAGCAGACCAAGCTCAGCTTCGTCAGAGTTTCACCGGCACCTGCAGTTTTATCCACACAATATTATAACTCAGGAGCTGTTTTGATTTTGTGAAGGTCCTCAGAGGTAGGAGATGCCTGGGAGGGGTGTGTGTGCTTTTGGCGCTGTGGGATGTTCTCTCTCGATTTGGAAGACAGCGAGAAAAAGCACAGCAATTTGCTCCCCAAGGCTGCTTCTGTGTTTTGGAGGTAGCTGAAGCTTATTGATTTGCTCACGGTTGCCAGGCCATTAAAAGAAGGATATTCCTTTCTTTGCATAGATACTTCTGGGTTCGTGGCAATTGGTTACAGTTCATTTGACTCCCAATGGAAGCTTTAAAAGCCAATGCTAGCTACAAAAGATTAGGTACCCTCACGATGCAGTGAAATGAACACCTACCTTTTTTTTTTTTTTTTTGATGACTCAAATTCTGGGATCACTTCTGCTACTCAGTTGATTGTGGGAATCTGAACAGGTGCCTTAAATTGTCTGTGTCTCAGTTTCCTTGTTTGTTTCGCAGATATTAACCATTTCAACTTTACAGTGCTATTATGAAGATGTAGCAAGAGAGTAGAGTTGTAAGTGATTTGGAAATTTTAAATGCAAGACACAAAGGCCAAGCCCCACAAGACTCAGCTACTCAGGTGACATCATCGCTTCTGATATATTTTTTATGAGAGTACACAAGAAAGGCACAAAACAGCTCTGTGCAAATAAAACTTCTTTGGTTATTTATTTCTTAGGCACCTGGTGTGCCTTTATTGAGGTTTTTAAAGTGAGGGGATTGTAAATAGATCATTGTTTATGGTGACCAGTGTATTCTTCTTTGAGGCAAGTGATAATTCATTTATTATGGTTTTGTGAATAGATTTTATGATCCCAGAGTAAGACATGTAGCATAACACTACCTTAAGTGTTTTTGTTTGTTTTTTGTTTTTTTTGAAATGGTGTCTCACTCTATTGCCCAGGCAAAGGTCTGAAGTGGCGCAATCTCAGCTCACTGCAACCTCTGCCTCCTGGGTTCAAGCAATTCTCCTGCCTCAGCCTCCTGCGTAGCTGGGACTGCGTGCACATGCCACTACATCCAGCTATTTTTTTTTTTTTTTTTTTTGTAAAGACCGTGTTTTTCCACCTGAGCTCAGGTGATCCGCCCGCCGCCTCGGCCTCCCAAAGTGCTGGGATTACAGGCGTAAGCTATCATGCCCAGCAGCGTTTTTTAATAGAAGAAAGTGTGACAGAGATAATAAATTCCTCTAGGTAGGCACATTTCTCCTGGGGCCAAAGGCACTCTTGCGGTGAAAGAAGTGTTGCTATTAATAACCAATGACCCCGAGCCTGATGGTGAATCTCTCCATGTTCTTTCTCTTGATGCAGGTTATAACATGTCTTGATGCTTCCTCTGGTTTTTCTAGAATGCCAGCAGTTACTCTGCAGAGATGACGGAGCCCAAGTCGGTGTGTGTCTCGGTGGATGAGGTGGTGTCCGGCAGCATGGAGGCCGCTGAGACAGATCTGCTGAATGGGCATCTGAAGAAAGTGGACAACAACCTCACAGAAGCCCAGCGCTTCTCCTCCTTGCCTCGGAGGGCAGCTGTGAACATTGAATTCAGGGACCTTTCCTACGCGGTTCCTGAAGGACCCTGGTGGAGGAAGAAAGGTAGGGAGGGTGGCTACTTTGTGTATCAAGCTGGGTGGAGCCTCTGAAGGAGGCAACAGGTTGTTGGGGCAGAATCGGGGTTTGGAGTTTGGGAGGCTGAGCTTCTCTTCCCAGCGCCATCCCTGCTGTGGTCAGTTTATTCCGTTGCTTTCGGCCAGAGTTTACCTCACCTATAAAATGAACAGGTTGGATTTGGTGATCTCAGAATTCTCGGTCTCTGAAATTCTATGACGTCACTATGGAGAATTTCACAAAGATTGACCAGTGTCCAAGTGTGCTTTTTCCTGGCATGTGCTCAGAGAGTCCTCTTTTGTGGCTTTCATTCATGTCCATCTTTCAAGTTGGAACTGTTTTTCAACCGCCCAGAGCAAAATTGGAGATAGATGCCCCCTCCCAAGCGTTAAAGAGTTTTAAAAAGTGGCCAGTGACCTAGACTGACCTCTCCAGAGACCCATCTTGAAAGGATTCTTTTCTGGGTGGCTGTGGTGGGCTAGAAAGAAAATTAAACTGTTGTAAAATGAGCTGTATCAATAAAAGTAGGAAAAACAGAGATGAAGGAGCTCAGGAAGTCTCTGAAATGCCACCAAATGCAGGAGTTTGCCACCAGCTTATTGCATGTTGCAGGGAATTGATGAGCGGTGGTTTGAGTTTTCTCAGCAACCTTCTCTGCCTCTAGAGTTTGGAAGTTTGTAGGGTTAATGCCACCCTGGGTTGGTGTGTTTTTTTCCAGCCTGATCTGTTTCTTCCTGTGGAATTTATCCTTCATCTCCTTCTGCTCCATGCACTCCTCATCTGCTCCTAAGTGGATCAGACAGGTGGGTGGGGGAAGCTGATAGGGAGAGGACATGTCAGACTTCGTCAGTAAACTGTGGTCCCTAGTTTCTGTAAATCATGGAAAGCAACTTGAAAATCCGTGAGGACTTTGGAATAATACAAATGACTCAGGTACCCCTGGAATATTCTAATTTTTTTAGGACTTTGAACTTAAAACTGGATTCAAATCTTCTTTCATTTTGAAAAGGACCAACCAAGACTCATGTTTTAAATTTTCAGTTGTCTTTCTTCTTTTCCCTATTATATTTTGTTTTTCTACCTTCTTGAAGCTATGTCTTTGAGGCCCTTGGCATGGGCAGTCCAGTCTTCATTGTAATCACAGTTTTAGAGCCTTGACAGAGTGGTCCCTGTTGGTGGACCAGTTGGTGGCTGGAAAACTGTATGTCTGTGTTTGCACAACCAGAAACAGATTCTTTACCTTCTCAACAGACAATAGTATAGCATTGTGATGTGATATCTGCATTTTCAGAGCACACCAGCCTGTTTTGTTAAGAAAGCAGCTCTGTGAAAGGCTCAGATGTGGACCCACTCCTTTGATCCTATTGAAATTGCAGCATAGGGTTATAGCCTTCTCCTTCTCAACTTACAGAAAGATTTTATAGAAAAATGTATTAAGAAACCAGGACACCGTGCCATGTTTTGGCCTCATTTGTCTATAAAGACAAACTGTGGCAAAGCACTGAGCAACATAGAGCAACTTCTGTCTGTTATGTGTGGCCTTTGATATGTTATGATAGTGGAAAATGCTGGGGAGGGTGTCTGGTAAAATTAAGATGGGTTGTAATGCAGAAATGTTGACATCTGAAAACTGGTGGCATCTGGGTTTGAAATGTGTTGACATAAGCCTGGCACACAGGTGTAGCCAGTGTTTGCAAGTGAAGAGTATCACTCCTCTACCCAGTATACTAATCTGTTTTCACACTGCTATAAAGAACCACCTGAGACTGGGTACTTTTTAAAGAAAAGAGGTTTAATTGACACAGTTCTGCATGGCTGGGCAAGCCTCAGGAAACTTACAATCATGGAGGTAGGTGAAGGGGAAGCAAAGCACATCTTACACGGTGGCATGAGAGAGAGAGAGAGAGAAAGAGCCCACACACTTTTAGACCATTAGGTCTCATGAGAACTCCCTCACTAGCATGAGAACAGCATGGGGAAACCGCCTCCATGATCCGATAACCTGCCACCCACTCCCTCCCTTGACATGTGGGGATTATAATTCAAGATGAGATTTGGGTGGGGACACAGAGCCAAACCACATCACCCAGCATGTGACTTATCCTTATATTCTCTAAGTGTTTAAACTGATCACATGAATCATCACAGTTAGCCAGCAAGTAATGGCTCTTAGCTGGGGAGGAGCCCTAACTGTCCATTCTTAGAAGTGCAGCCTGGGTAGGTGGCCACCAGATAGAGACTTGCCCTGCAGTAACCTTTTGGGCCCAGGCAGGGGAGGAGCCCAAAATGGGCCCCCAGGGACCTGCCCATGAGTCAGAAATGGGTGGAGCCAGAGAGGTTGACAGACAGGATGTGTCTGGTGTGTTCCAGCTGCTGGTTTCTACAAGGGCCAAGGGTAGTTTTGCTGTCTGGCTTCCTCCTCACTGCCCTCCTAGCCACAGCGGCACCTGCATCTGTCTTCCCTCTCCTTGCTTCTCCTCCCCTGAGTCCCCATCCTTTCCTTTGTTCCTGGTGCCTGCAATTGGGTCTAGATAGTTTATCATTCCAGCACACAGACTGGAAAGGAAACTGTGGCAAAGGTGATTAAGGGACTTGCCCATGCTCCTGGGCTCTAGAGGGGAGGCCTAGGATGAAGGCAGCAATTTCTAGCTCTGTGCACTCCAACATGGTGGCCATGCCTTGCCTAGCGCAGGGCCTTATGGAGTGTGCCCACAGGGTTCCCTGCTGTTGGTGGTTTGGTTGCTGCTGCTGAAGAGTTTTTCTTGCCGAAGGGAGTTCGATGCCAAAGCCCTCTCTGTGCCCACTGTTCTCCCATCACCAGCCTGCTCTTGGGTGCTGCGTCCAGTTGGCTGCAGACTTGCGTTCCCCAACTAAAAGCCAGGACAATCAATAAAAGGGCACACTAAATGTGGATCTTGCATTGGGGCTGCAGGAGAAGCTGCATCCCACTGGGCCTCGCACACACAGGTCGCCACCCTCCTGGTTCGCCTCTGCGTCTGCTGGTCTTCCAAGTTGGCCTCTTTTGCCCCTCATGCATGGGTTTCCCCCCTTCCTCTTTTTGCCCCTCCAATTGTTCCTGGTGGTCTCAGTCCCCAGCCGTGATTAGGTTAGGCTGAGAAGTCAGAGCCCAGCCACACTCTGCATTTCTCTCCTCTCACAGTGACAGAGTTTGTATTTGGCATCATCTCTGTGTGACATTGGGGCAGGGACTACTTCTCTGACTGCTCTCAGTTTTGCTGTCTGTATCAAGTCCATTGTTTTCAACTTTTAAAAATTCAGTTTGAATTGAGTGAATTGTAATGATCACACTGAGGCTGGACGTCCGAAGGTAAGAGGTGAAGGTGTTTTGAACATGCCTAGTCCCATGCTTCACAGTAGAGCAAAGGAAACAGGAGCTCAAGCACAGAGATGATTTGCTCAAAGGCAGAGCCTGGGCTGGGACCCAGCTGTTCTGACTGGCAGTCCAACTTCCTTCCCATTACGAAGACGCTGGACCACTCTAGTTGATTCCAGGAAAGACTCTTTCTCACACAATTTCTCCCAAAACATGGTGCTGTGATATGAACTCAACATACAGTGCCATAGCAAAGCTCGGCATTTAGACCAGAATAACTTTATGAACTCCTATATAATGATTTTAAAGAGGACTTTACAATCCTTGCAAGAAAGGCGATGTGAGAACAATAGTGGTATTTTTAAGAAGGAGATGCCAGGCACTGATTCTTTAAAAGTTTTGAGCTTGACGATTACTGAGCATTGAATATGGCGTTTAACAAAACATCTTGTATTTTCAATTGTAGTTACATTTTCACCATATGATTAATGATGTCTTTGGAGGAAAAACTACATCATATAATAGATTTCTAGCAGAGAACATAATTGTGAGAGGAACTATTCTCAGGAGAGAGAAGTACACCTCAAGGATAATTTCCCCGGCTTCTGATACAGTAATTACTCTCCCTCAAGGAATTCATTCACGTAGCTTGTGCTGATGGGACAAATGGCTCGGAACAATATCAGCTTTGGTGCTGTCACACGAACTGTGTTGGGGACGGATCAGAGTGGCTTGGTTTAGTTGTTCCTCCTCACCGTTAGGTGTGACTCTTTTGAAAGGGCCTTTGCTTCCTACAGAGTAGACACTATGATGAGAACATTTAGGAAAGTGGTTAAGAGTCAATTCACAGAATAATTTTTTTTTTTTTTTTTGAGACAGAGTATCACTCTGTAGCCCAGGCTGCAGCGAAATGGCACGGTCTCAGCTCACTGCAACTTCTGCCTCCCGGATTCAGGCGATTCTCCTGCCTCAGCCTCCCAAGTAGCTGGGAATACAGGCACCCTACATCATGCCCAGCTAATTTTTGTATTTTTAGTAGAGACGGGGTTTCACTATGTTGGCCAGGCCAGTCTCAAACTCCTGACCTTGTGATCCTCCTGCCTCGGCCTCCCAAAGTGTTGGGATTACAGACATGAGCCACCACGCCCAGCCTAAAATGTTTCTTAGGCAAAGATGATGGGGATGAGCAGACTTTATTGTAAGCTGTTTTCAGAGCACATTTACACAAGGGTCTCATTTTATTAGGATGTGATTGGCCACAGTGAACACATGGAATGCTTGGGTTCTCATCCACTGCCCATCCCCTAGGAGATCCTGGTGGTTTCCATGCCTGGTTGACTGAATGAGAGCCGTTCTTCAATCCGCTGGCTCATGGGCTCAATTCAGGAGGGATCTGCGCGTTCTCCATGTGGAAAACTGTGATGTAAGGTTCAGAGGCGCCACCAGGGTCATAGGAGTAGGGAGGAAGAGACTCAGAACCAGGTCTGTGGGATTTCAAGCCAAAAAGGAGCTTAGCAAGTGCTCAGCCCTGACGTGGGCACAAGACTTGACCACCAAGGCACAGCTGTTCCTAGCCCTGTGTTATGAAATGGTTTGGGGTTGCCTTGGCTATAAACTAATGTATTTTCCTTTTAATTGGCCTGCTTGGATGTCA